TTTTTATTTTTACAATTTATTTCACATATATATAATTTATATTCCAAAGGCTAGTATGTTAGAAATATATGTCATATTTTTGTACAGTTGTTTTCAATCTTAAGTACATATCTACTTATACATACATTTATATATAAATATATATATATACACATTTGTAAATATATATAAATATATATACATGTATATATTTTTTTCTCTTTGATCACACTTGTCATATAAACTATCTAAAGATTTAGCACCTAAATATTCTGCATATAATTCCTAGATCCTTACAATTCAAACATACTTAATTGGTGTATGTATGTTGAACAAAATTATAGTATCACCTAACATAATCTGTAAATACTGTGTACAATATTATTTGAAAGCATACTGGAAGATAACTAACGAAGATAATATACATACACCTCGGATGAGTCACCTATGTTTGAATATTCAATAGAAATTCACGCAAATGCAATTCTTGTAGACGACCGTGTAAATGATAAGCTTTTATCAAGGAGTTCGCATAATTTAACAAAACGCTTTTAAAAATAAGATAAAAAAGTAGACTTTAGTTTTGTAACAATTTTTACATATTTTAAGTACATTTTTATTCAATAAAATGAGTTAAAATGAAGAGAAATCACTTACTCGGGCGGCAATTGCAAGAATCGCTCTTAACATCGTGATTAAAATTAATTCGCGTATGTATTGTCGAGCGTTAGGTAAATTTGACAAAAAAGTGACCAGAAAAATCGACATAAAAGATTACTGAACTTCAATCTTATGAAAGCAAGTAACATTGAAACTTCTGTTAGTTTAACTACCCATGTACGCCGCGTCATCAAATACAGTAATAAGTACATTTATTATCGTTTGTTCGATCAACTAATTTCTCAATTTTATATTCGCAATGACATATTAATTCATACATTTTTTTAAACGAATCACGCATAAATTTAGTTCTGCGGAATGTAATTTCGTTGGTTTATTATTGTATATATTTTCCTCTTCTTATCACATATACATTTACATTTGGTACAAAGCAATGCAACATGTACAACAAATGGAATATAAAATTACAAATATATTTTTTTTGCATACTATTCTCTTTCTTTCACAGAAGAAAGAAGCAGTACTGAAAATGTACATGTAGTTTGGAAACTGAATAAATATTGCTGTACAAACTGTAGCGGATTGTGGATTATCGATTGAGTATCATACTATTGGCATGGTAAATATCTGAGGAAGAGAGAGAAGAAGATAAAAAGTATGAGCTTAAAGTTGGCTGATGCTTCTAACGTTATAAACAGCTTGAATCACGTGATATTGGTACAACAAATGTATGAACGTCTCACGATTTGAATTGTCCAATTAAGAAAAACCTGTGCTCATTATGTACGTAACTGTGATCAAACAAGTTCGTGAATCATATGAATTGCTTTTACATACTAACAAATGTACTACCATTCAATTATCTAATTTTTCGGTATATCTGTAATGCCGTAACTCTCAATTTGTAGATTTTTTAAACAAATCGAGCACGAATTGAATTTTGCAGAATGTGATTTAGTTGGCTTGGCATCGTACCCGGCAATATTTAACCCGTAAGTGGATGCGTGAGGATTAAATTGACCTTCTCCGTTTCGTTTCTGTCTGCAACATTGGTGTTCTCAATTTGCCTCCACTAATTACTCTTGGATTTAGCGAAGTAGTGTTAATAACATTAGGAAGTTTCAGCTACGAATAGCAGTTTATACCTCAAAAAAGTTACACTCTTACGGTTTAATAAATTTATATTACACACACACACATACATTTACAATATTGTTCTTTTTTCTTCATTAAACTCGAAAATCATGGAATTCATTCTCTCTCTCTCTCTCTCTCTCTCTCTCTCTCTCTCTCTCTCCCCCTCCCCCTCTCTCTCCCTCTCTCTTCTATCACATACGTTCATATTTGGTAAATGAAAGCAATATATAACACGTATAACAAATGGAATATAAAATTACAAATATAGTTTTCTCTTGCATATTATCCTCGTTTCTTTCGTTTGCATGGATAAAAACAGTAGACAACACAGAAATATACTTATCTAATCACGCGAGAGTTAATGCTATTAAGTATGCATAATGTTACAAAACGGATATTCTCCGATTTTTACCTGAAATGCTTAGGGTCGTCGTCGTTAAAAATTTGCCGTTGGACAGTTTTCCGCTTTCGCAACCGCGGCTGGTATGGTCTCAGTGGTTTTAGACGATACACAATGCCCGAGTAACTCAGGGCACTCCACCTCGTTAGAAACGATGTCTTGGATCTTCTTCAGCAGATCATAATTGATGCGCTGCGTTATCACAGCATCGTGCCTGCGTTATTATAATATGCAATTTTCCTCATTAGAATATGTTCTATTTCGTAACATTAATAACAGTTTCAAGCAGAGATATGCGCCCACTTACTTGTACTCGGGATGTGAAATGACCTCTTTCCTGAGCCAAGCGGCAGTCGTTAAGACCTCCCCAGAGGCTCGTTTCTGTATCAGTTTGATGTATCTTTGAATAGTACAGTGTGTATCAGCGTCTACGTCCATGTTGGCGAGATAAGAATTTACTAACGGCACGAGACCAGGAAAACCACCATCCTGAAAAAACACCGACAAGTATAGTCGAAATATGTATTATATTTGCAAAGAGAATAAGAGAACTATACTTGCAAATGTGCGGGTGTAATGCAGGGTTTTCCATTAAGAGGTTTCATCTTAAATTTCGTGTCATTTTTTTATCTTTTAAAGATAGAACGGTCATTCCTTAACAGCTGATGAGTAAAAAGTATACGGTTAACGAGAATGGAACGATATATTCTTTAACAACGTATAGAAATTGTGAAAATTCAAAATACAAAAATGGTGAAAATTTCGCGGAGATAGTTCGTAAAGTTCGTACTGTTTTCGGTCGTAATGAAGCACCCTCTAATCCAGCAATTGTCAACCTAATCAAGAAATTTGAGTATTTGGGTCAAGTTAGTGATGTAAAGACTCCAACCCATGCTCGGCTAGCCAGATCAATCGTCTTTTTCGAAAACAAAGCCATCGTTTTAGTGAATGAGCTGCATTACGATGCTGACCGACTTTTCTGGCCTTAAGTGGATGATTTGAACCTGGATGATGTTTATTTCCAGCAGGACAGCACAACATACTAGCGAAACAATCGTATTAATGCATAAAAAGTTCCCTGAACGTATAATTTCTTGACGTGGAGACTTTAATTCGCCGCATAGATTGTGCGATTTAACACCGCTAGACTATTTTCTTTGAAGCCATGTAAAGGATAAGGTCTATGTCAATGATCCGCAAATGATTCAACACCTCAAGGATAATATCAAAAATGTTATTCACAAAATCGAGCCGCGATTATGCGAAAACATGTTGTGAAAACGTCATTTTCCTCGAAAAAGTGACCATTTGTAAAAAAAAATGGAAGCAGCCATTTATCAGATATCGTGTTCCACATTTAACCCTTTGACTGCTAACTGCTCTAAGTTGAAGCGCTTCGCGTAAGCGACGTGCGGCCGGCAGTAGCGATCGCTGGGGACTGAGTACTTTTGCGCGCAATGTGGATCTTATCGGCGGCGTATTAACACATTATAATATAATTCACAATCCAATTACTATTACTTTGTCCACTGCAAAATGAATCCAATCATTTTTTATTTTCAATATATATTATTTATTCATTCATATATTGTTTATTCATCAATAGTAAAGTTTTAAAACGCCATAATTTGCTAATTATAATGTATGTGTTTGGATATTGGAAATTGAAAAATTGAACAAATAACAAGTAACATAAATACTCTATATATAAACAAAAGACATGAGACAACAGTAAACAGCCAAAGCCTTCGCCGAGCGCGCATTTGCGTCCATAGTCTACATCGATGGCTTGCGCCGGACGCACATATGCGCCCATAGGCCACACCGATGGTTTTCGCTGGACGCATATATGCGCCCAAAGCAGTCAAAGGGTTAATCGAACAGTCCGTATTCTGCAGTGGAATAAAAATATCACCACTTTAAAAAAAAATTTCGTTTTTCTAAAAATTAAAAATGAAACCTCTCAATGAAAACTCCTATATTTAAAAACAACGTATTCGATACCTTTCCGTTAATGATCTCGTTGATTGTGAATTCAGTGTATTCCGTTTGGGCGTCGTCGGGTATTTTGGCGTCCGAGGTGATGTCACGACGGAACCAGAACTTCTCTGCTTTGACCGCGTCCCTCTTCTGCGCCCTGGCCATATTCTGATCAACTTTACTGATGGGGATTAGTAGATTCAGCTTGTAACTCAGGATGACTCTCGTCAACAGTACTGTGAAGCAAACTATCGCCGCGTTCTCGAAGTCCGTGATCTGCACTTCACACGGACGAAACTCTACTCGCCAACCGATAGAAGAGTTTGGCGGTGGCGGTTTAAAGCGCATAGTTTGCCAATTGGTGGACTGTATGTTCTGAAACGGTGCACAGAGAACGATTACGATCGTTGTGTCGGCGATCACGGCGCTGACAACAGCGTTGAATCGATTGCAGTTGCGGTTTTACCTCGAAGTGATCCGTATCTTCCAAGTCGTTTTGATGTACTTTCTCAGAGAACAAGGAGACGCTGTCTCTGATGAACAAATGAGCGATATGTTGCGCGAGCAACTTGTCGATTCCATTGTCCAAGAGTTGCTTGTATATCTCGTTGTCGTACGTCAAAGGTACATCGTTGTACTTTTCACCTTGTTCACTGAGGTACGAGTCGATAGAATCGTACCTGGACTTGCTGATTCTGAATTTATTTTCTTTCAAAGGTATCAGTCCACGCTCTTCCCGTGTTCTGCAGTCTACCGAAGAAGATATGACGTTCCACCGACAGTCGACGTCACTTATGTAACCTCGATAAAGCGGGCTGGCCGCAGTCAGAGCCAACTGTTGAGTGTTAAACAAACGTTCTGTAATGTACGTATGAAAGAATATTCTGACAGTATATTGTTATTATTTAGAGGGAGGGGGGAGGGGAGGGAAAGGAAGAAGTCATCGCACATATGTAAACAATTAACACTAACCATGATCGGGCATAAAGGTGTCAGTTGATCGTACAACGTTCTGGCTTCCTGTATGTTACACGCCTGAAACGTCAGTTGTAAGCAACAGCATCCCATCCCAAAACCCATTGCATCCATGTAGATGTGATCGTCCTCGGCTGCTTTAGAGGACGATCCGTCGTCTCCTTTGCTGATGAGGTCTTCTTTGAACAACAGCGGTACATTCTCATCTCTGTAAACTAATAGAAATCTATTTGTATTATGGAAACATAAAACGGAGGTTCGTCGGTCAATTCACTTTAAATAAAAAGTAGCGTGCAAAAGCTTCCGCATTCAAAATGCTGTGGACTAGGAATGCTGCGTACTAGGAATGTTTATGGCTACTTTCTCGCCACGACGTTCCCTTATATTTCTGGTCAACGTCTTGAAACGCGGGTGACCAGGAAATATGACTTCATCAGGAAAGAACAAGCTCCTAGAAGCACCGACGCTGGGTGTTGGATAGCTTGGAGGGTCAGTAAAATCTGGAGCTCCTATCCTACAATGTAGATAATTGAATTTACAAAATATTAAAAAATATTTCAGCATATCAGTAACATCTTTTTTGTATAAATATTGCGTTTAACGGAGCAACGAGATACGGCTGTGATCTTCACATATATTATCAAAGTCATCACTTTGAATAACACTCAAAAGGTTTTAGCTGTCGCTTATTGTTTATTAAAAAGATACTAACAAAAAAAATTATTTATATTACTTCATATTATATTATTATTTTTTATATATTTTTATTTATTAAAAAAAATTATATATTTAATTAAATTATATTAAATATTAATAATTATATTAAGTTATTTAAATTATTATTTCCTTTACTTATATTTATCTAAATTTCCATTTCACGGGTATCTACACAGCATTTTGGTAATGTCATGTTTATGTATTTACATTTTATATGAATTTTTTTATATTATGGCTTGAATATATTCAAGTGATGAGAGTATTATTGATATAACAGGCATCTCTAATTGATAAACATTATTGTATTTTCATATTATTTATTATATTTTTATTGTTTATTATATTTATTATATTATTATTATTATTATATATATAAAATATATATACATTGGACGCATTTTGGCTTGTGTAACTAAAACCTTTCGCCTTACTAAAGTGTGTATGATGAGTCTATTTTATATTAAAATTAAAACGATGAAGATTAGCAAAAACTCCTACGTCAAGTATATTAACTTATAATTTACTTATTTAAAATATTGTTGTCTGAATTTATAATTACTCCATTATTTTTGTTATTTATTTGTTTCCATTTAGCAGATATATCTTGTGTGAGGGTTTATGTTAATCTTCAATGTTTCAGTTTTAATATAAGATAGATTCATCACACGTTTTAGTAAGGCGGAAGGTTTTAGTTTCACAATATGTAAGTTATAATTATGATAAAATTATAATTGTATGGAATTCCTTATTATTTTTTCTCATCTTTGAGGATAACCTTGACCTTGATATATATTGTTAAGGTAATAGCTCTCAGTAACTTTCATAGGATTTCTAACAACTTTTCTTCATAACTTTTTAATAAACAATGAGCGACAATTAAAACCTTTTGAGTGTTATTCAAGACTTTGAGAATATATATATATATATATATATATA